ACACTGGAAAAAATCGTTCACTTTAAAAGGTTGTAAATTTGATGTAAATATTATGTAAGTGTCCAAAATGATGTAAATTTGATGTAAATTTGATGCTTAAATTTTATGTAAATTTACATCAAATTTACATCATTTTGGACACTTACATAATATTTACATCAAATTTACAACCTTTAAAGCGCACGATTTTTTCCAGTGTGCCCAGCTAATCGTTAGCCTCTGTTATTCTCACAACTTAAGTGTTAGTTTCTGGAGTCCCAAAGTCGTTGCTGTTATCTTCTTGCTTCCTTACCGCACATCAAAAGGTACCTAGAGTGCAAGTCACATAAGCATGAAACAATTCTTAACTATGTAGTGCAAAATAAGATTTAGTTATCAACTAACTAAGAATTGAGAACAATGCTACAAAGGAATTTAAATAATTGGCATTGTGTTTATGCTTTGTTGAATTCTTAGTTAGTTGATAACTAAATCTTATTTAGCAATACATATTTTAATATGTAATATTTTAATATTTTAAAAGAATTGTTTCATGCCTATGTGACGTGCACTCTACTGGTAGCAAAGAATTGAAATTCTTAAAGAAACCTTGTATAGGTCTGTATCATTCTGTAAGGAATGTATACTTGAATCGTACCGTAGGGCATCGTGGATGCTCGCTTGATATTTTTTGTTTTATTTTGTTTTGCACGACATACTAATACAGTCCATATTTTGGCTCACAATGTTGATCATACTAGCTTGTTATTTCATTAATAGTTATTTMATTTCGATAGTCTTTGAACCATATAGGATAAATTAAGATCATAGATTTCAATAGAATTCTTTATGACATACCCTTTTATTGCCTGGAACGTTCTTTCATTTTGTGGACTACCTGTTTCTGATGCCTTATAACGAAAAGCAAAGGAAAGAGAGAGAAAAAGAACACCAACGCGACCAAACATGCTCCTCGCGTCCTTAACCATCTAGAGTTCTTACGAAAAACTTTATTTTCATATTTTTTGAACAAATTTTAATAAGATATTAAATGAATTGGCGAGATCCTGCTGCTAACTGATTGATCTTTCCTAGCTTATTTCATTTCGATAGTCTTTGAACCATATAGGATAAATGGATATCATATAGTTCAATAAAATCCTTTTATGACATAACCCSTGTAAACGCTCTAAGAGCGTCTGTTTTTAAGTTGCTTAGTATTCCGSTGTTGCCATTAGTGACGGGTGTCCAGCTAAGAATGGCTRYTACTTTTCACTGGTTCTTTAAACGGCCTCATTTTTCTTGGCCTCCTGGTCCGCCTTATTCTGGCTTTGGTTTGTTTGTTTGYTTGTTTTGTTTCCTTTTAGAATATGCTACTATCTGTTCTGATCTTTGCTTTTTGTGTGGCATTTTCGCAAAGTGTTGCTCATTCAGAAGATGTCACACACGTCCTTGGGACGAGATCAACTGGTATCACAACATTTTACAAATCAGTAAAGACCTTTCCCGCACCCTCACACTAAAATGAATATTTCCTCATAAAATCTCAAACAAGATATTCGTATGAATAAGTAAAATCCTAAAATTAATGTGAACCATTATTATGCCGTCCGTGATATAAAGCGCCGTTTACACGACCAATTTAAGTTTTCTGTTCCAATTTTTCTTGTCAAGGAAAACAGTAGCTTGTTCGTGTAAGTGGTCAACAAGTTTTCCTTGACAATTCCTCCTTGACATGTTTCTTTGCTCGTGTAAACGAAGAACAAGTTTTCCTTGACAAGGAAAAATTGACCGTGTGAATGGTCAACAAGTTTTTTCTTAACAATGTTTCCTTACCACATTTTCCTTGTTGTCCTTTTACACGAGCAAATTTCGTCCTTGACAATTTTTCCTTGTCAAGGAAAAATTGTCAATTTTAACCCATTTACACGAGCAATTTTTCCTTGTCAAGGAAAACTTGTCAAGGAAAAATCGCTCGTGTAAAAGGCGCTTAAAAGAGGATCGTGACCTCATTTGTCACGCATTTGTTGGTTATTGCGTGACGTATTCAATTATATCAGGTTCTCGCATACACATTGGAAGGATTACAATAATTGGTGTCACTATAACGCAGTTGGCAAACGATACTTTATAGCACATCAGTGCATTTCGAAATAGAAACTGAAATGGAAACAGCTTAAAATATGAAGCAAAATCAAGATCTTTACGACACTGAAGAAAAAGAAGTTTTCAAAGATGCTCTCGACAAAGGAGGTTCCATATCGGACGGACAAGAAACGTCTGTCATTCCCGATGGTGGATGGGGATGGRTTATTTGTATCGGGACGTTTGCCGTAAATTTCATAGTTTTTGGTATTCACAACTCTTTTGGAGTTGTTTATGCCAACTTGTTGGATGAACTTCGAATGGGAAAGGCAGAAACAGGTGAGCGCGCATAAGATGACAGGAAACTCAATTATATCAGTCTTCGACACACAAAACCATATTGTAGACATTAAAGTCTCTTTATATTAGCCATGTTTAGGGATTTTCTTTCGCAAGAATTGCATAAAGTAAAAGATTATAGCGAAGGTCAAATTGACTCACATCTACGTCMATTGTTTGTTGACATTTGATACGACTGCGATAAAAATATAAAAATAAGTTTTTTTGTGAAAATGCTTTCTTTCTTGTTGTTCATATTCATTTTGAAGTAGCATAGATCAATTTTTGGTGTTTTTCCGAGATCAAACAGCCGTTAGAGCACAGCCGTGCTAATATTTGTATTTCGCAAGGACTATATTTTTTAAATAAACTGYAGTGTCAAGGAGGCTTTGTAGCAGACGTTTTCGTGGTATTTCCCCTGCCTCAAAACGTTCTACCTTATTGCTTCTGTTATTATAAATCTATGATATCATTTTATCCAAGTATAGTCCATATTCATGCAATTCAAGTCATTGCTTGCAAAGACCTTTCGACCGATTCGGAAACGTATGATAATTGTTTTCAATTAATTTACGAGTATTACTAAATTTTATATTCGTTTGTCAATACCTTAGTCAAATCATAGTTAGTGACTATGGTCAAATACATTTATATTTGTTCATAAGAGGTTTTGTATTTKTTATGATATAGCGAATAAAGTTCTAATTTACTCGCTCGTTTATTTTGACTTCAATACACGCGATTTTGTTTATATTTGACGCCATGCTGTACAGCGCGGATATCTGACAATGTATTTCGCTTGGCTGGATCCCTATATTTTTTCTTAATATGTCATAAAACAAAATTCACAATAAAGAATTAATAAAGATGCTGTATATTTGCCAAAAATTATTCATTCGCTTGTTTTTTWARSMWTTTKGSSGKKKTTTTTTTCGTAACGTGGTCGTTTACGGTTGACATGCAGAACCGGTAAGAAGAGTTCAAAGTCCATATAGTGCATAATTATATTCGCTACACAATTATTAGACTTTGTACGTGAAAATATAATGCAAGCACYGTTAATCGATTTTGATACCGAGTTTGTTTGTTTGTTTATTTATTTGTTGTTGTTTTTATACTTTCTGTGTCTCAGTCTCCCTCGCCGGTGTAATAAGCCATACAAATTGGGCCATCGCCAACAGATCGGAATGAATCTCGTGGTCATGGCTTAAAAACAATGGAAAAAATATATGCTCTCATCTTATGTAAATGACTTTGTTGTCGCCTTTACGTCTTTACAACTGAACAACGTTTATGGAATTGACTGCCAGCTAGCATAAAGAGAAAATTTAAAAAATGAAAACTTTTCTGTTTTCAATTTCTTACGTTTCTGCTTGTAGTTATGTTAAAAATTATCAGCGTGCAAAACATAAGCATGCTTCTGTAAGAGTGAGCCGGCTCTAAGGAGCAATCAAAATGTGCAGATTTCGACGACTGCTATTGTAAACCTTTGTGAATCTTTGCTTACAAACTTTTTAATACGCCTTTTTGCAGTTCAAAGCGAGCAATCGTTGCTTGAGTTGACAACAGTCTCTCACGCGAAGACCTTATACCAAAAACAATAGAGAACACGATATAATGTTGTCATGACCCTACAACTTTGCAGTTCCTCCGATTTGAGTCTGAGCCTTCCTTCCCAGAAGGATTACACTCTAGGTCTTGTGGCTTAGCCTCAAAGCGGAGATTTAAATTTCTAGAGGTATTGAAATGTCAACATGTTTTCGTGCTTTCTTTTGTTCTTTGCGCAAGTCAGTCTGTTGTGTCCACAACAGCGGTCGCTCGCATTGCACGGGAAGAAGGCTTTTTAACATATATAGTTTTGAATTTTTTACAGCATGGATCGGAGCTCTAGCGATGGGCCTTAACTTCTTTTGTGGACCGCTGAYCAGTCTTCTATGTGACCGATACAGCTGTCGCGCTGTTGCCTTTGTTGGAGGTTTGTTGTCAGTGCTTGGACTCTTCCTTACGTCATTCGTCCAAGAACCTTCAAAGATGTACGTAACATATGGTTTGCTATTCGGTGTTGGCTCAAGCTTTTCCTTCGTTTCATCTATAGTTGTCTTAGGGGATTATTTTCACAAACGCCTTGCTTTGGCCAATGGTATTGCCACATCGGGTAGCGGGGTTGGCTCGCTGGTAGCAGGTCCTGTGATCAACTACCTCTTAGGTGCAGTGGGATGGCAAAACTGCATGAGAATTTTAAGTGGATTTGCTGTGTTGCTTTGGATTGCAGCTTTTTTATATCGACCAAATAATAAGATTGATAGAACTGCAAGGTCAAAAGCCAAGYTTTTTGATCCCAAGATTTGGAGGAATAAGGCATATGTATTCTGGGTGGTGACTGTGGCATTGTTCCAGTTTGGTTACCTCATTCCGTTCGTACACTTGGTTCGTATTTATTGTCATTTATTCATTTGATTGTTTGTATTTTAACTCGTTGATTCGTCTAATCGATYATTGTTTTAAACAATTTTCCATTCTTTTCATTCTGTGTTAATAATCCCCGKTGGRAYTCTCATATRTCAAAGGGCGTGGTTCATATAGGTTTTTGGTCCACCACACATTTAGGGGGTAGTTTTGTAAATTTCCGACAATTATTTCCTCCCTAAATACGAGGAAGCCATGGGCATTGATCCTTCTGTTTTCTGTTCTACAGGTGAAATACGCAGAAGACATGGGAGTTTCCAAGTCCAAAGGAGCATGGTTAATCGGTTTTCTATCAATCATGTCGACAGTAGGTCGAATTCTATTTGGCAAAGTCTGTGAACTCAAAAGAGTCAATCGTATATACATCTATCAATTCTCAATATTCATMATTGGACTAAGCACACTGCTGTGCCCGCTGGCTAATTCATATGGTGGGCTCATCGGTTATTCGTTGACGTTTGGATTTTTTGATGGCTGTTTTGTCGGTCAAGTAGCGGTTATTACGGCTGATATTGTGGGCCATGAGAACCTCTCACAAGGTGTTGGGAATCTGTTTGGGTGTCTTGCTGTCCCTATGAGTTTTGGGCCTCCTGTGGCAGGTATGAGTCATCAATAGTCTCCTTCACGAGTGATGTGCGCCATCTTGAAAGGTAACAGCCGTGCCTTTGCATCGAAGCGAGACATCCGTTAAGTGTACAATGATARATACCTGTGAATAATTGTCTGTAGGTGTGAAAGAAGGTTTCTATCATTGCGCGCTCAACGGTCGTCTCGCTTCGATGTAAAGGCACGGCTACCGTTCAAGATGGCGCAGGATACCGTGAAGARGACTATTAAATATGGCTAACTGAGGTGGTATTAGCAGTTGTTGATACTATTACAAGTACTACATTTACCGCTTCGTTTGGTTTAATTTTTCAGTTGTTATATACATTTTAATGTTGATGAAAGCAAAAGCAATCCGCCATGTTTTGTCCCAAACATATCCTACAATGCATTGCGTATACGGTAATGACGTAAAACCTTCAGAGGAATGGCGCGTCATTGACCATTGACGTGGATCCTGTGCGTTACAAAGGGGAGAGGGGGAGAGGGGGCTAACTAAWGGAGAAAGATAGATTTTTGGACTGCTAATACTTTTCAGATKAACGTTGGTTTGTTTGTTTTGTTTGTTTTTCAGAACGAGTTCCATTCAAATTTTCTTTTCTTTGCTTTTATTTATTTATTTATATTTCTATATTTTCGGATAATTTCATTAATTGGATGATTTCATTAATTCCATTTCAAGGTTGGCTTTACGAAAGCTCAGGGTCGTATGACGTAGCYTTCCTCGTCTCAGGCAGTGTAGCMATAATTTCTACAATTTTAATATTCTTCGTATCGGTRCTCAAGAAAAGAATGGGTTCACTTACCGAATTAGATCTCTCAATGGACATATCACATTCTGAAGACTCTGSATSCACRGAGGAGCGCAAAGGATTGCCATATACGASCAGTTTTAGAAATTCACAGAGCGATGATGGCCAACTGCTGGCCAATGAGAACGATGGCTCACCAGTATACCATAAGGGACGAAAGTTAAGGGAGATATTTTTAGATCTTGAGCGAGAGACAGTGATATAGTTGGCCGATAGTTTTGAAATGCAAATAGAATTTATAATTTAAAAAGATGATTGTAGGTAGGATTTAACTTCATAGTGTACTTTGCTGCATCAACCTTGTTTCTTCCCACTTCCTCTAATGCCATCTAGCCT